TTTAAATTATTTAAACAAAATAATTTTAACATCAATTATTAAAATTAATAATAATTTTATTTTGACAGCAATAACTTGGAATAATTGTTGGCTTATAACAGAATTTAGTTTGGTGCATCCCTACTTGATCTCTATAATGGTCTTAAAATTGTATGAACAGATGTCTGTTGTTTAATAAAATATACCTGTTGAGGCCAAAAATTATGCATATTATTATTGATGTAACCATGAATTTCATTGCATGATTAATGATCCTGGAGACAACAGTCAGTAATACAACAGTTTCTGGATAAATAAGTGTTCTCATAACACAGCCACTGTAACATTTAGAATTTGTTTCTTCTTATTAAACCTTGCAGTGCATGTCTCCTCCTTGACCAACTCAGGAAATTGTAGATGAAGATAATAAAGGTCTTCTACTTCCAGGAGAATATCACCCTAAATAATAAAAACCAAGCCCTTATTGAATTCACAGCACAAAGAAAAACCTTCAAAAACTATGAACAATATAAGGCCTGTGCAAATGTTAAACCAGAACGGTGGAAAATTCAATTTAGTTCCAACAGGATAACAAAAAAACTGATAAAATTCAATTCAATTCAATTCAATTAAAACCCTACAACGTTGACATACTGGGAACACGGACCTGAGAGATGCTGAGCTGGCACTGTGACACAGATCTCACCCCAGGAAGCTCAACATTCAGCTGCAGGCTCCTAGATGAGCTGCTGCCATCAGGACAGACTGTGAGATGATGCTTGGGTTGTTGTGGCTGCGACTGGTCTGATTCTGTGCTGGAGATCACCTCAATGAGACCTGATCGGGCTGGTTTATTCTCCTGCTCGATGTTCAGTTGGATGCTTGAGTCCTCATTACTCTCAGCCAGCCGCAGTGAGGAGATCTGCTGTAGGAGTGATGGGGCTACACAAAGAGAGGTAGAATCACTCAATGTTGCACTGCAATCCTCAAAATCACTTCATTATGGGATGAAGCTCAGACTGTCTCCAGGTTTCAAAAGTATATATTTTACCTGGTTCAGCTTGTGGGTTTTTGGTAGAAGCTTTGCACATTTGTGGTGACATGAGACGCTGCTTCAAATCCTGAATTCTGCCTTTGATTTTGTCTTTGGTGTGTTTGTAGCTCTGGGACAGATTCAGATTATGCTGCTGCTGGATGAAGTTCAGAGCAAGTAGGTGAAGCTTCTCGTTCTCATGTTTGTCTTTCTCTGCCGTCTGCAGAACCTCAGGGTTGAAGGCAACATCAACAACACTGTATTGCTCTGTAAAACACACAGGAGATTAGATATTAATATAACGTTTAAGAATCAAGTCTAAGGAGATTAATCAAAGGAGAAAATCAAGGGAGTTAAAGGGGTCATATGATGCGATTTCAAGTTTTCCTTTCTCTTTGGAGTGTTACAAGCCTCTTTACATTTCTTTGGAAAGATGAAGCTCGCGATTATGGTAAGGGGGCGTTACATTTCCGACGAGTGCTTGCGGTGTTCGGCCAATCACAATGCACTGGGTCAGCTGGCCAATCAGAGCAGACTGCGCTTGTCGGAAGGAGGGACTTTGTAGAAAACGAAGCATTTGAGAGAGGCGGGGCATAGAGGACCTACAATAATGTACAGTATTTAAAAAATAATGTGTTTTTTGAACATTAAAGCATGTCAACATATTCTGTTACACCAAATACTCAAAATAATGATCTTTAAAAAAGCATCATATGACCCCTTTAATCAAGGAGAAAATCAAGAAGGTTAGTTGGTGAGTTCCTTAGACTGGAATATGAACCAATGCATGGAACAAATGCCACCTAAAAAGTGAGTCTTTTGGTTGGAAAGAAAACATTTTTAAAACATTTAATAGTTTTAATTGTTAAGGATGAGATTTTTCTACCTTTCTCCTCAGTCACTGTCTCCAATCGTCCTCCACACACAGGAACAGGATCACTGTAAGATGTGGGCGCTGGTACACGTTTCCAACCGCACATGTTAATGTACAATATTCCTTCCTTTGGTCCCTAAAAAAGTCATCAGAGAGAGTCTTTTTTTTTATTTCTAGACCGTACTCAGACATTATTTCAAACTATTTGTACATGCCAGCCATTTTATGTGGCAGCACCGTGCTTCAGCGTTGGTATCAAAAGCTAATATCATGGTACTAAATGATAACCACATTCATGTAGCTCCTTCAAAGCATTTCATGCCATTAAGCAACATATGGTATTACCATGTTAGCATGTCAAAACAAAAAGGCAAATGTAGCGAAAGGCATGTTTACGCAATAATAAGGCCTCTTAAACTGCTCTCATACAGCTGTAGTGGTATTTTTGTTTGTTTGGCTCTATAAAATAGGTCATAACAGAGTCTCATCAAAGGTTAAAGGTGTAGTAGTTTACCAGAAGAGGAGTGCGGATGCAGGCGTGCGGCTGCGGCGGTGAGTGAAACTCCGCTCCCTCCCGTAACCGGCGTTCAATGAAGGTCCTGTACTCCTCTGGATTATTCTGAGACATGTCATCTAACATCGACCAAAACTGATTCACCTGCTGCAGAGCTGCCTTATTATCATAGCCAGGGATGTCCATGCTCAAAACAAACCGAACTAACGTTACTGTAACAACTAAACGAAATGCTAGGTAAATATCCAAGTGTACTCACGTTGCTGAAGGATAATATAAAAACAGTTTGGAAGTAGACGGATGTTTAGCAGCTACAATATTTAGTAACAAATGCTTGGAATATTGGTGCAAAAACAAAAAAAGTCTTACACGACAATGATTTGTAAAAGCGCTAACGTTAGTCACTCCAGGACAAGCTTTTCGCCCTTTCGAAACTCAAACGTTACCATAGAAACTAATCTAACACATGCA